CGTCAGGTTTGTTCTTAATCCTTTGTTTTTGATCCTTAAGGCATTTGCCGTTCGTTGTAGATACCTTTATTCCCTGTACTCTGTAAACCGATTGTAGTAACCAGGTTGACTCTGAAAGCCAAAATCCTTTCATTGGCCATTGCCACAGTCACACGGAGTGCAGTGATTTCAGCGAGGCCTCATTACTGTTTATGTACATGTTTTGCCGTATGTTTTACTGAAAAGTTTTGTTTCAGGGAAGCGCGACTACTTAGTGAAAGATTAGCAGATTTGCGAAAGCTTGAGGACGAAAATCGTGATGGTGCTATGGAACTAATGCTGCAGTTGGTCGAATGTACTGATCGTGAATCATTTGATGAATTTGAGGCGCAATTCCTTGCGGTCAGTCTGTCATTTTTATCAAAATTTGTTAGATTAGTAACAAGAATTTTAAAAAAAAAATGCCGATTTTGAAACAAGCATTTTTTCTTATTTACTAATTTAATAAGACATTATTGTTAGTTTCGAGCGGGAAAAGGCCGGTGCAGTCGTTTAATAAAATGCATTTTTATGGAATAGTGAAACTGCCGTATCTCATGCTACCATTTGCTTAATTTAATATCTTTTTCCTTTTCACATTTGCAGGCACCAATTGTTTTTTTTTCTTTTTTTTTTTCAAATAGTTATATTACAGTTTTCACGCATGATTATGAATTGTATTGAATTTTGAAGGATTATAATCCGTCCGATGATTCTGAGATTCTCGAAGAAAGGCGGCAAAAACTGCTTGCTTCATTTGCAAATTCTCATCCAATGGATTACGATGCAGCTTTTCTGGGCGATGGTTTTAACCCGAGTCAGTCAAAAGTGACTTCTCCACCACTCTCTGAGGTTTATACTTTCACCATTTATTGCACTGCAGCAGAGAATTTTGTGGCTTCTCTTAGCATCTCTGAATTCCTTTTTTATTGTTTTAAGGAAATTATTTGCAAACAGCCCAAACGTGCACATTCGAGAACAAAGCGGCAGCGAAAAAGTGAAGCACCAAAAGGCATAGCTCGACAGCATACTGTTATTCCTA